CCAAAACCAATTAAACTCAAGGAAAACATATTTAAACTATCACACGAAATCAAACAAATAATTAAAAGAAACAATTGGGTTGCCTCCCAATGAGCGCCTCTCTTTAATGTCTTTGGCTAGACATTATCATGTTTTGTTCATGGAGGATAAAATCGTGTGGCTCGTCTTAATGCTTCATCCTCTATATAGTCCTGATAGCTCTCGTAAATAGAGTAATCCTTGGACATACGAGTTACGAGCTTCCATAGACTAGTAAATGGCGCCAAACAAGTCAACGATAATTTGTATTCTCCATTCACTCCTCCACCACACGCATTCATCGGTTCAAGATATTTTTTCATTGCCACTCTTAACTTATTCCTGTCATGAAATTTCAAATTTTCTGGTATAATAAAATCAATTTCAGTAACAGGAATTGAAGAATAGGAGTCAGGAAAATATTGATTAAGGAATGGAGAAGATGTCACCGCATTTGGAGATTGTTCACTGGATTCGTTCACTTGAATGGGTTGCGGTTGGGGTTCCATTTCTTCCTTTTCGGCTTCTTTTTCAACTGCATCTGTAGATTTCTCATTTTGACACTCTTGCATCTCCTCATCACCAGTCAAGCAAATTGCACTCTCATTTTCTTCTAGATCAACAATGGTTTCCGAGGGCAATTCTTCCATTTGAGAAGCCAATCGATTTATTCTGGATGTCAATAGACATAGTTGATCTGCCAGATAACTCATTGTATCCTTCATCATCTCATTCCTCATTTGTGTCTCCTGTTTGAATTGGTATGTATTAGTAGCTATTGGTTCAACTATTTCTTCAAGAGATATACCTGACATAGATGACGATTCTTGAGACTCATACTGCTGAAAATTCATTGGCCCCGTTGAATAATTATAATTGGAGTTATCCCACCATCCTTGATCATACCCGTTTGGATTAGGGTTATACCACGTTTGAGACCAGGGTGAAAAATCTCCATAATTATTGAATGGGACACTCAGAGTATCTTGATATTCGGGGCACATACCGGTTGAATGATCCCTGGCATAACAAATTTTACAGGTTACAGCAGCCATTCTTTCTCTAATAGAGTTTAGTGCCTCTGAGTATGCAGATTTAGCGAAAAAACTAGTCTCATCGCCTTTCCCGGAAAGAAAATCCAGTATATCACCAAAGTACGAAGTGTTAGAAGCCATAAACTATATAAAAAAAAAATAAGAGAAAAAAAAATAAATAAAAAAAAATAAAAACAAGATGAACTCAAAAAGAAACAAATTAATTTGGCACCAGTCTGCGGCAACGGCGCCAAAAATTGACAGGGTGTCGAAGCCTGCGCAATAATAAAACCTGCTCAAACTAAAATAAATTTCTGTAGATAGCGGTAAGCAGGGTCGAATCCACAGGGATTGGGAGTAATTGTTTCTTTTCAAATTCACAGTGACAAGGGGGGTGTTTTTGTGCAGAAGGTGACAATCGAAGAAATTCAAATAAAATCTAAAAAAAACTACTAAAAATTAAGTAACAAATTACTAAAATCAAATGAGTGATAATTAAGGATCTAGCCAAGGAATAACTTCAGCAATGGTTCATCTAATTGATCATCGACGCAAAGGCAATCCCAATTATTTATCAATAAATAGGTTATAACTACCAAACAAGCGATGACAGTCAACCCCTCCTTACTGTGTCGGTGATTAAGGTACGCCCGTTAATCACTGCCCTAATTGAGAAATAATCTTAGGTACGCCCATAAGATTTAATTCCCCAATTGCCTTACAAATTAGAGGAGCCCTATTCTAACCAAATAACGCACTACCAGGGTTATTTCAGATTAGCCCGCGCATCCCCCTGACACAAATCTAATCATGCCAGTTGTCACTATTTTGAGGTAATTAAACAATTACGGATTTAACACCTCAATTGACAATAGATTATTAAATTAACTAATTATCCGGATCCAAGACAATCAATTAATTAAACAACCATAAGCACTGCAACCAGGGAATATGCAAATACCAATAAATAAAAGGAAAAGATTAAATTAAAACGATCTCACAATTTTTAGGCGACCCAGAGCCTCCGTTACTCCTTGATTAGAGCGAAGAGATTAATTCATATTTGGTATGAAAAACCCACACAAAATTGTAGCAAAAGTCGCGGCAATCGTGCTTTGAAATTGGGGAAATTCAATTCGTCCGACATACAAGAAGGAACAAAAGACTACTCAAAGTTCAAAAGTAGAAAAGTTAAAGTTCTCCCCAATTTTGCTCTCTGACATGCGTGGGAAGATACCCCTCAAAAGCTACGATGGAAAAGTCAAAGGAAAACTAAGCTTCAGGAGGAAAAATCCTCTACTCCTCCCTCTATCAAAAGTCCTATTCTAATGCCTGGCTCTGTGCGGCGGCTCTAGCCCCCCAAGGGAAAGAACGCCTAGTCCTGTGTTCCTCCTTCTCCTTTTATGCTGTCTTTCACAAATTACCAGAAAGGGTCGCATCTCTTTGTTTCAAGAATGCTCTTGATTGTCTGCTATTTGAACTCTTTTCCGATAACTGTCAAATTGGTCTTGATTGTGATATTTTTGTTCTACTCCCTGAAATAAATGTAAATTACGAAAAGTGAGTAGAATCTAATAATTAATTCACATCAGGTCAGGTAATAGGGAAAATTAATAATAAAATAAATGATAAAATTGCAACCTATCAATTTCCCTCTTTTTTTTCTTTGACATTCTAATTGTTAAGGACAATACTTTCTTGTGCTTCTTGGGTCAGACCATTATTTTGTTGAGATTTTTTGCACAATAGAAGGCCCCAGCAGTTATAAGGTTTCTCAATCAGAGTAGAGGCCTCAGCAAGGCATTAAGTAGGAAAGGTGAACTGGAAATTTAGTGCCATACACGCCATGCAATTTAGGTTCTGACACAATAGACGTGTATACACTGACATATTAAATGCAGACAAAATTAACCTAATGCAAAATTAACACAAAAGCACAATACATGTTTCATTCATTGAAAGTTTTGCGTGCTAATCAATTCTATTCATCCAATTTCAAATTTACCTAATGTAAAATATAGATTGCATGGTGCAATCAATTGCAAGAAGTACTCACCACACTTATCATTGTTATCACCTTTGTTTTTTTACCCTGTCACTATTATCATTAGATAAATATATGAAAAAAACAATTTATACTTATTCCATCACCTTTTTTTTAATTTTACCAGCCACCATTCTGTCTCACATGCATTATATAAAAATACAAAAAGTATTATATTATTAATCTAATTTTTTTATTTAAATAATCCTTGATTCGATCACACTTTTATTTGAGTAAAATGACACCGTTCCCGCTTTCGGATCATTCATGTATATTTTTTTTTCTAGGTTTGTAATTAGACTGCACTAAATTAATAAATGTTTCTTCTTTTCACAAATGTATCATAGCTTTTATGATTGCATTGCAACTAACATATTTTTTCCTCAACATCATTTGTTTACTCTGAATTGGTTTACAAATCTCCCACTTTAACGTAAAACTTGTAGTAACCTTAGATGTACCCTTCTGTTTGCTAGTGCACCAAACCATTTTGTGCCTCCTATACATGCACAACATTAATTTGAATTAGAAGAAATTGCTTAATTTGAATTATCTAAACAATTATTTTGGACCTTTCATTGTTCAGCACAATTTCTTATCCTTCTTGGGTGGAATTTTCCACGACTAGGGGCCCCAGGCATGTGGAATGTGGATCAAAAGCAGATGTAGAATCCCGGCAATGACTATATTTTATTTTCAACTGAAAATGCCAAGCAACTTCCGTTGCAAAAGCATCCGACCCAGATTGTCAAAGAAGCGCTGCACCAAAAAATCCTCATAACTCTTGTCACTTCCGTTTGAGTCAAAGCAGTTCCTTGCTGCTTCTAACTACAGCTAAAACCTTCCACTGCAAAAGAGTATTCTTATCTGAAGACTGTACCCAAGGAACAAGAAGAATGGCTGATGCAATTATAGCTTCCACAATAGAGGTAGCGTTGGAGAAGACACTTTCCCTTGCCAATGAAAGGATTGGCAAGTTATTCCAATTCAAGGAGGATTTGGAGACCCTGAAAGGATCTGTTGCCATGATCCAAGCTGTCTTGGCTGATGCTGAGGAAAAGCAAATGCATGACAAGGCCGTGCAACTGTGGCTCCAGAGGCTAGAAGCCGTGGCGTTTGATGCCGAGAATTTGTTGGACGAGCTGAATTATGAAGCTCTTCGTCGCCATCTCGTGGACAAGGTACGCTCCTTCATCCTGTCCTCTGACATTAATATTGTTTTCCGACGGAGAATGGCCTCTAAGATCAGGGACATCAACAAGAAGTTGTATAAGATCAATAAAGAAGCCAATGATTTTGGACTGATCAGATTCCAAAGGGCAAGTTTCCCCCCTTCTACTACTGCTAAAGTCACACTAAATAGAGAGACGGATTCTATTGCTGGCCACTATGTTGTAGGAAGAGCTAAGGATGAAACAAGGCTGGTGGAGATCCTGCTAAGCTTGTCAAGAAAAACCGTTTCTGTAATTCCCATCCTTGGGATGGGCGGATTGGGAAAGACAACTTTAGCTCAATCTATATACAAAAATAGTCAAGTTCATAGCCATTTTGAGAAAAAAATTTGGGTTTGTGTGTCCGACAATTTTGACGTGACCAGGCTTTTGAAAATGATTTTAGAAGCACTCACAAGAAGAAATGTTGAAATGACCAGTAGGGATGTCATCGTCCAGGAAATTCGAGAATAACTTGTGGGAAAAAAAATTTTCTTGTTCTTGATGATGTCTGGACCGAAAATCTTACCTTGTGGGATGATTTTTTTGGTTCATTACTGGGGCTAAATGCAACTAATGGAAATTGGTGTGTTGTGACTACTCGTAAACAACAAACTGCATCCATTGTGGCCACACATGATCCTTATGTGCTAGGAAAGCTATCTGATGATGATTGTTGGTCTATCCTAACAAAGAAAGCCATTGCAGGTGGAGAAATTCTCAAACAATTGCATGTCATGAAAAAGGAAATTATAAAAAAATGTGGTGGTCTACCACTGGCTGCAAGTGTAATGGGAGGTTTATTGCGCATGAAGAGAAAAGAGGAGTGGCAATTGGTTTTGAAGAATAAGCTTTCAAATTTCAGTGGAGATGAAGATGGTGTCATGGAAATACTTAAATTGAGTTTTGATTGTTTACCATCTCCATCCATTAAGAAATGTTTTGCATATTGTTCTATATTTCCTAAGGATACTATGATGAAAGGAGATATACTAATCGAACTTTGGATGGCAGAAGGTTTGCTCCAAGCAGATGTCAACAACCAAATGATGATGGAGGAAATTGGAATGAATTGTCTGAGAATTTTATTACAGAGTTCGTTGTTTGCAGAAACCAAAAGTTATCAGGAAACACGTTATTATAAGATGCATGATCTAGTGCACGACCTCGCAGAGTCAATGTCAAAGTCTACTAAAGTTATTAACAATATTCGTTACCTTGCGGTAGATTTATCTGGTGGCAGAGAAGAAAAAGAAAAACTTTTGGAAAGTCTATCAACTTCGCTTCGTACATTGTTTGTAAAGGGTGACCTATCTGGTGATATGTTAATGAAGTTGAAGAACTTGTATGTTTTGAATTTGTCTCATGCAACAACTCAAGAGCTACCGATCACTATTGGCAAATTGACACATTTGCGATATGTTAACCTTTCGAGTTCTAGAATCTGTATTTTGCCAGACTCCCTTTGCAAGCTTTATAATTTGCAGACATTGGCACTAGATAGCATGTATGTCAAAGATCTTCCGAAGGGGATGTGCAATTTGATTAGCTTGAGACATCTCTACTTTTACACCTTTGATGAAAAATTTCAAATGCCGCTAGAGATGAGACGACTATCTTGCCTTCAGACACTAGAGTTCTTTAATGTGGGTCGAGAAAAGGGTCGACAAATTGAAGAGCTTGGATGCTTGAAAAACCTCAAAGGCAGTTTAAGTATACGCAATCTTCAACTAGTAAAGGATAGGAAAGCGGCTGAGGAAGCAAATCTATTTGGAAAGGCAAATCTATTTAGGCTGATACTTGTGTGGGCCTTGGCTTGGGATCGAGAAGGTGACAACTACAACTACGACAAAGATGTGTTAGATGGCCTTAAGCCTCATCCAAATTTGGAGGAGTTGGTAATTCAGCGTTTTATGGGTGATCAATTTCCTCGATGGTCAATGGATTTGCCAATAACACTTCCCAAGTTAGCGCGTTTGGAGTTTTATTATTGCCACAGATGCAGAGAACTCCTTCCCTTGCAAAACTTTACGTTTCTTAAAGAGCTGGTGATTTGGTTTTGCCGTGGGTTAACGAGTCTACCCAGTGACATGCTACAGTCTTGTATCTCTCTCCAAAAGCTTCAGGTGGCTTATTGCGACAAGCTTATCTCCTTTCCGCTTGATTTGCAACAAACGCCTTCTCTTTTGGAGTTGGAATTATACGCGTGTCCCAAACTGAAAACAAGTATGATGCCCAAAGGATTTGGTTTCCTACCCAGCTTAAATCGCCTTGAAATTGGTCCCTTCTCAGATGATGATGACCATGAAAATTCTTCAATTTACAATGAATTTGATTGGTCTGGATTGATATCCTTCTCCTCTTTGTCATCCATACTATGTGACCTAGAATTATTTGGGTTGCCACACATGGAGTTCCTACCACATCAGATCCAATACTTGACCACTCTCACGTCACTTCGGCTACATGACTTTGGAGGTATAAAAGCTCTGCCAGATTGGTTCGGAAACTTTGCTGCTCTTGAATACCTATGTTTATTTGGTTTCAAAGAGCTTCGACATTTACCCTCTGAGGATGCCATGAGAAGTCTCACCAAACTAAAAGTTCTACTGGTTTATGGTTCTCCTCTGTTAAAAGAAAAGTGCACTCCTGAGAGCAGCGGCCTCGACTCCCAGTGGTCCAAAATTTCTCATATTCAACTCCTATTAATAAGCGATTAACAGTTCATCTTCAGATCAAATTCAATCATGTAAGATTGCTTGCTACCTACGCATAAGACATCTTTGCCTTCTCTTCACTTCCCACTCTAATCAACCTTCTCGATAAGTGTATTATACATTCTTTTAAGTAGTATTATGTGCGTATTTTTTGGTATAATTTAGGGTTTTTACGGTGTAACTTGCTCTCTAAGTCTTTAACTTTTGCAAGATTCATTTAGGAAGTTGAACGTACAAATGTGGTTATATTGGTAGGATTTGAGGAGAATTATCAATATTGGATCGAGGCGAATTCATTTGAATTCATTAGTGGCTGATTCAATGATGATTTGGAATTAGAAGAGCATCAAATGCAAGTATTATTGTTTCATTGCATGAACAAACATTGGGGCATCTTGCTTATGATCTTAGTGCATTGGATAGAAAGACACAAGAAAACGTAACAAAAGAGAAAACACAGGCTCTGAATACACGAGTTGAGGTCACGTATTCCAAGCCTGCTTATTCTCTCCTATTTTTTTGTAACTTGTTTTGCAACTTGCCCTATTTTCACACTTCTTTTCTGCTCAATTCTTGCACAGAATTTAGGCTACACATGCTCAAGAAACTCTAGAAAAGTGCAAAAGAAATTTTATGTCATCTTATTTAGCACTTTTTGACTCTCTTGAACACTATATATTTAAGAATCACTAAAGAGAGAAAGAAGAGAAGAGGAGGGACAAGAATCACTGCAAGGAGAAAATGTGATGTGCATTTAGCACTATATATGAAAGAATCATTTAGCACTTTTCCACAGTGATGTGATGTGCAAGGAGAAGACTCGCCGACCTCTTGCTGCATTTTTTTTTTGCTTTCATATTTCCTTGTAGTTTTTTATTTTAACTCTTTTTATTGTACAAGTTTAACTTGAACTTCTCATCTTGCATTTGGGACTTGTGGCAGTTTTCATAGATGGTTGTAGATTCGTCGATGGCTCGTGATTCAAGATTGAGCTGGATCTCAGCCATTGAATTGGGGAGTAACTTGTTTTTACTTTTTCTTCTTCGCTTTCCCTACACATTGAGGAAAATGTGTATGTTAAGTGTGGGGGAGGAAATGCTGTTAAGTAGGAGTCACTTTGGTGCTTATATGGTAAATGCTTGGATATGATATTAGAAATTTGTCTTGTGCTTAAAATTGTTGGCTTTTGGGTTTGCCGGCAGGAAGTTTCATCCAATTTTAAAGAGAAACTCTGTCAAAATTTTTTCAAAATCTTGTCCAAATTTCAAAATTTGCCCCAAGTCTTTCACAAATTGTTCATTTAAATCCACAAGTGCAAGAAGTTCATGTCCCTTTTGTTTTAAAATTCTCCTATACAAGTGAGATGATTTTAGTAATTGAACAATTCAATTCTCACTTGACTTGGAAACAATTATAATATGACTAGAATTATTGCATGTAAGAAAGTATATATTGTAAAATAAAGAAAATTATGCCTACATTTTGCATAGTAAATGAAATCTCTCATCTTACTTATTTTTACAAGTAATTGATTTATATAGTTGCTAGAATATTTTTCTTCCAAATGTGACCTTATTGAGGGATTTTATGGTAAAAATATTCAATAAATTTTTATACTGAGTAACCGAGAGTTTTATCTACAAATATCGACTTTCGCGTCAAAAGGTATTGGAATTGGGAGTAATAAGTGAAGTTTTGAGTAACCGGAAATCTTCATCTAAAAATATCAATCTTCGTCAAAAGGCATTTTCACAATTTTAAGAGTAAATAAAAGAAAAAAGAAAGTGAATAGTTCCCTCTTAAGGTTTGTGAAGCTAAACATCTCATTTAGAAGGAAGAAAATCTCCAAGGTAACTATATATGTTAGTTATTTGTGAAATTAGGTAAGATAGAGAGATTAAATTTGTTTGGTTGAATTTTGAGTGTAATTATCTCTCTTTTACATGATATGATGAGTATTACGGTTAATAGGAAAAAATTGCATAATCAAAGCTTGCCAAAGTTAAGAGAGATTGAGTTTCAAGTTCACTTGATTCATTTCACTTCTTAAATTATTGCTGGTTTGTATTTTTTATTGCTCGAGGACAAGCAATGATTTAAGTGTGGAGGAATTATATGAAAAAAACTAAAAAGTTACCGTGGTTATTCTTCACAATTTTCTCTTCTTCCTTTTTCTCGTCCTATTTATTATCTTTCAAAGCTGCGGCATTAGCATTTCTTGCCAAGTTCAAAATACCGTGCTTCTCATTTACTCCTAACAACATAATACTCTTGTAACCGTCGATTAACATGAAACCAATCACCTATCCTGTTCTGTGCTTTGATGTATTACTATAACTCTGTTAATATTCTGTTCCACACTTTGTTTTTGTAGGATTGACAGAACAATAGCTTCACGAAATTATCTAAATTGTTTTGTTAGATCTCTTGTTTACTACATAATGTCTGAGCTTGAATTTTCTATTTTGCAGTGATCTTAGGCTCAAGGTTTAAGTGGATATCTCCATTGGCCATTAATTACTCATTGAATTGCAAGGCCAGTAGCTTGGACAAAAATATTTATGATGGCAATTTTTCTTTCGTATCGGTGCCTTATAAAGCCAGCACTTGATATCCTTGTTGTCGGAGCTTGCACATTGTCTATCTGCCTTTTCAGTCACGAGGTCCAGCAGTAAGAATTTACCTGCTATATTACTATAAATTTGCTTAATTTTTTCCCTGGCTTTTTGTCTTTGAAACTAGTTGTACCTCAATTGCAGAAAGTTTTCTGTCTGTGTTTTGATTGCTCAATGACTGTCAGCTGGCCTGTACAATCTACTGGGAAAAAATTTCTTGCCCCAGCTTATCAGATGTTTTTGAAGAGCCATCATTACCAGGACTTTTTGATGATCTTTATTGGCAGTTTGATGACCATTACTAGAGAAATAGATTGACCATTAAGAGGTTTTGCAAACTTTCGAGTGTTATCGCAAGGTTAGCATATCTAAGTCAAAAAAATATACATACATTGTATCGAGTCCTAGTACCTGCTCATTATCTTTAGGGTAAAAGTGGCAAAAGAAACTCACTTTTGTAAGATTCCATCACAAGAAAATGTAATAGAACTTCCTGTTCTTTCATAGTTATAATGCAGGAACAAGCTTTCTCGAGGGCTTTCATCAAACTTAGGCATACACACCACCATTTACTGTGAAAATTTTATTTTCTTATTGATTTGTTTAAAAAAAGGAAAAAGATAATGCGTTATATTCATGGAGTAAATCCTCAAATGAATGTATGTCAAAGCAAAAAAAATTGTGAACTAGCAACCGCAGACAAAGATTTTAGACTTCTTAATTTATAGCTTCTTTTGTTTCTATAGGAGAACTTACTCTAATGAAACTTTTATGAAGATTTCTATTTGTTACCTTTTGTGAGGTGATATAGATGGTAACTAAAATGATTATGTTGCAAAGTTTAGGAGGATCTGCTTCCAAGGATGTTGTCTAGCAGTGCAATAGCTGGAATTTGAGAGGATTCCATTGTGCACCTTTAGACCAGCAATTCTTGCCGCACTCCTTTCTTCAATGCTTCCCAAGATGATTTTTGTGGTCTCTTGCTTAGATGAACATACGTTAGAATTGTGAAGCTTCTTCAGCACCGTATATATTGCCGGAACTCAATAATTTTTTGCCTGCACGTCCTACAAATAGCCCATCGACATATAATAACAACGAGCGGTCTAGTTTTGTTGATTTTCCATATTTGGTTCTGTGGATTGTAAGATATTATTGCTAAAGTCAGCCCACTCTCTTTAAACTTGTGATTCTAAGGGGATGAAATGGTTTCTCTGTAACTTTTACCTCTCAAAAATGCATTTAGATACTTCTCTGAACCATTTGATTAGTAATAGCTCTGGGTCTCAAAATAATGGTTTTTTTGACTCACTTTTTCTCGGTTATGATTTTCTAGCCATGAAGACAATGGTCAATCAAGGGGTTTTCGCATCATCGCTTTGGTGTTTTGGTTCAAATTTCTGGTAATTTAAGATACGCTTCTCTTTTTTCACTACTCAATTTTGACTTTTAATCGCTTTGATTTTTAATATGCTACATGTAAAACAAAAGAAATCTTGTCATTGTGAAGATATTGCCGAGGTAGCCGAGGACGATGTACTGTTCATGCAATGAAGTTGCACAAAACTTGGTACTTGGTGGAGTATCTTCCAACATGGTCAAGTTTAAGCAGGATGTTTTGAAGCCTTTCAAAAGCTAGTCAAGTCTACTTGTTGCAACTTGCTGCTCTTAGTGAATCCACCTTGAACTGTCCAAATGATTCAGCAATTTGTAGTCACAATAATGAGGGGCTGATTTACTTGTAACTGAATTAGCTATCTCTGGCATACTGCTCGTCGTTAGAAATTAGAACTAGCTGGTGTTTTGGTTGCAGTTATATGCGGATTTTGCTGTGACTTAATGGCTCATTTTCTGAGTTCCACCACATAGATCTCAATCGTTAATTGTGCTATCTTATAAGCTGTGAATTATGGAAGTAAATTGGCAATTTGGGAAATTATGCAACTGTTAAACTTTAGTTTGTTGAATGCTTTGTTCAGGGAAGAAAACACTGTCACTAACCACATATAAAATTCAATTATGGAATACAGATATTCAAGAGCAGATTTTTTGATGTGGAGAATCAAGCACAATGTCAAAGCTGAGAACTTTTTTGTATTTACGTCTACGGTACAAAATTCTTTGTTTTAAATAAAAACTAGCAGTTTACTTTTACCAGATGTCTGCTGCTTCCAGTTGTACGCTATGATTGCTGAAGGGAGCAAGTGGAAATGCTTGCTCTAAACTTTCACCTCTTGAATATGTAATTGTCATCTTGCTCCAAATTACCCGGTTATTGGCATTCTCTATCGTGTCTCTTGAATGATGGGATTCTACTGATTCTCCTCGGTATAAATCGGAACGGACAATTGAGGGAACTCTCACTGCCCTTGGTTGTGAAATTAGTGGTTTGATAATTTACAGTACCGATAATCTTCTTCCACTACTTAATAGTTGGGTTTTAACCACTTCAATATGCAATGAGTTAACTAAAACCTTAAAAAATTGTCATGTTTAAGACGTTTGTATCTTGCAGGTCTGAAAGAGTTCGCATTCATGGCAACTCTGTCTGGACCTGTCTCTGCCTTTCATTCTTGTTGGTGCCGCATATTATAACTATATTGTTATAGAACAACACTTTTCTCAGTGTTTCAAACACAAACGGGTGTAATGTCTATGGCACTACTGGTACTTGTAGACTGAGCAGGAAGATTTGATATCTGCTTACTAATTTAGGTTAGAAAAGAACAGCGAAAAAAAAAATACTGAATTAGCTTTCTGAATAATTGCTAAACATTAATGTCATGCAATTTCCAGTTAAGCCTTATGATTTGCTATGTGGTGTCCCGATTCTAGTATTTCTGTTTTGCAGTGACAGTAGGCTTAAAGCTCAGACAGACATTTTGACGGCTCCTAATTACCGCCTTTTCTTTGGATAATCCTTTCTTGAATTTCATCATGGCACTGCCTTTTTCACTTCCTTTGTCTCTGCTGGCCAAAGCTTCTTGATTTCTTGTTGCAAATATGGTGCCTTCAAACTGTCAATCAGCTATAGCAGTTTTAGTCATGATTTGTGGCAGTACTAATAATTCACTGATTATTGTAGTGAATTTGCTATTCTGTCTCAGACTCATCGTTTCTGAAATTAGCTTCTACTTAGTTGCCAAAAACTGTTGTAGTATCTTTAACTATTGACCAGAGATATCTACATTTTTCGTGCTTCCCTTTTCTAGACATAATCTGATGTTCAGATGATATGTAAAGTTGCAATTACAACAACAACTATTAGTTTTCCTCCTACTTTCTAATTGAGCACCTTCATAGTCTCTGCATCTCTTTGGTTGTATGGATTGGCTCTTTTGTTTTCTTTTTTTTTTTTTGGAGCAAAACTTGTTCATTTTTATTGATAGAAAGGATCAGTACTTACACAGTGGCAAAGTCCACCTTTACATCAGCTATATACTCAAAGCATTTATCCGAGATTCCCCACTCAATAATCAGTTGTTGTGAGTCTGTGGCACCCATCTCCATGAAACACCAATATCATCACTATATAAAAAGTATGAATGTTGGTTTTAGGAAGTGCAAGTGTAAGCACTTTTTTATCTTAGTTTTTGTTATCCCTAAATTACCCTCATGTCTTTTAATTAGAATTATTGCATTTTAATATGGCACTAATTAAAAAAAATAAAACACTCCAATTGATTACATTTCAATAGTATTGGTAATTAGAATAATTGTCATTACTATATAAAAAGTATGAATGTTGGTTTTAGGGAGTGCAAGTGTAAGCACGGTTTTATCTTAGTTTTTGTTATCCCTAAATTACCCTCATGTCTTTTAATTAGAATTATTGTATTTTAATATGGCACTAATTACAAGAAATAAAACACTCCAATTAATTACATTTTAATAGTATTGGTAATTAGAATTAAAAATTGCTCATTAAAAACTATTTATCTACTCTTGGACTCCATTCCCAATTATTATACATATCAAAATTTCTTAATTGAAGCATGAAAAATTTCTCATGAGTCATTAGTTGTCATTGTAAGAAGAAAAATCAATCTCAAAAAATAGATACTCTCTAGAAAATGGAGAAACATATAAGGACAAGTGAACCCTTATTCATCTGTATGTCTTCATACATATATCACGAGTAAATTTTACAATTATGCTCTTTTTACCAATATGAAGAATTTTTTATGTTGCACCCAATGGAATTTCAATATACAAAAATTGATGACTCCTTTATAACTAAAATAGTAGTATTAAACTGGAAAAAAATCTAAAATAGAACCATACAAACCACTATCATCATTAATAGCAACCGATCAAAAAAAATTGAAAAAAAATTGTAAACTATTTATAAAATGACATAAAGTAAATAGCAAATGAATTAAAAAACTAGAATACAATTCAAATAATACCAAAGACAACATCAAAATGACTCTGATCTCGGGGAAGACAAACAATATTGGTTTGAGCAAACCAAGTCCATCCATCAAGTCAGAAGTCATCCCTAATGATAAAATAAGAATTATAATAAGGGTAAATTTAAAATGAAGAATGATAAAATGGAAATGATATCCAAATTGTTTTTGGTGATGTTCAAACTACCCTTATTTTTCTAATGATTACATATATTTATTGTATTGCAATATTAGTGAATAATGGAAGCGGTTATGAAATGAAAAGCTTTAAAATTAAGTAAATTTCATTTATGGTGACAATTGTAATTAGACATATTTAGTGCATTCCAATAATTGATAATAATGATAGCGGTTATGGATTAAAAGTTGGCAATTAAAAAATAAAACACCAAAAAATTAATATTAAAATTATTAATTGGTCACAATTCTCATTCCAATTCCATGATCATAGAAAAAACTAATACTAAAACCAAAAATATTGTGCTTATATGAAAAAAGTAGACTTGTTGCTTTTGTTTCGCATTGGATTGTGCTAAAAACATGAATAAAAGAAAAGCAAAATAGAAAAAACTTCAACTATCTCTATCTATAAAATTTCAATTGTTAGAATGTACAAACCAAAAAAACTTTACGTGGTGGATCATTTTGACTCCATTATTGACAAAAATAGAATTAATATAGAGGTGGCAAAATGGGCGGGATGGGCGGGATTTGATTGGGTTTGAGATGGAATCGAGTCATATGGGTTTGGGCCCAACCTTACCCATACGTGTTTTGGGACTAACTTGGGCGGGATCACTTTGGGATGGGTTTAGATTGATCCCGCCCAATACCCAAATCTATTTTCTACCTATTTTTTTTCCTTTAATTCATTTTTTATTTTTTATATAAATTTAATATTTTTTATTTATTAAATTTCTTTTAGTTTTATTAAATAAACATGCAAGTACTTTATACTCAAGATTCCCGCCAAAAATTGGATTAACAAATAAAGGAAAAAATAGATATACAACCATATTCCAACATATATCAAGATGGTCAAGGTACTCAGGGTGTTGAATATTTATTCTCATCATTGTCCAAGGATGACAGGTCTAAATTGACTGAAATGCTGGAAATTCTTGTGGATATTGACTAGGAAGACTACTAGATTATATTCGTTAGTATGACTATAAAAATTGTTAAAGATAATTTTTGAATCTAAGACTCCGTTTGGATTGGCTATTTTTTCAAAAAATAAGTTTTTCAAATACAATATTACAGTAATATACAATAATTCAAAAAATATCCCATCTATATTAGTATATCAAATATTTCAAAAAAAAAATTTATAGTAAAAATTTTTCATATACACTACTACAATAAAATATTTCAAAAACACCCCCCAAAAATAACTAATCCAAACGGAGCCCTTGCTTTTTGAGCCCAATGGGTACCCAAGTAGTTCCCAAGATTTCCCATCAATTAATGGGTACAATTGGGATTTGTCCCATTTTAAACCCAATATCAAATTTCAGTACCCATCCCGCCCAAAGTCCCCATGGGCATGGGTAACCCATTGGGACTTGGGACAAATTGCCACCTCTAAATTAATATAATACAAAGAATTCAAATTACATGTATGTTTAATTTTCTAACTTAATTATATTCTTCATTTATAAACAATTGTGATGATTGTAGTTTATATGCAATAGAATCATGAATATACAATAATTTTGGTAAAACATGATATTATCAATATTTGATATGTTAGAGTTCAAGTTATAAATTAAAAAGTGTTTGGGTCATAATTTCAAATTTAATCCTAAACGATATGTCAACTACATTGGAATGTTTTCTGTCTCTTTTCATTTAATAAAAATTTTAAAAGTAACTAGCTTAAAAAAATAAATAATATAAAAATATTATTATTATGATGTTGGTGATCAAAATTTCATAAAAAAGTTTTAGTATCTAAAGAATAATACATTTTAAGATATTACAATAACGTGCAAAGCACGTGAACTATTACTAGTGTCTAGAAGTATCTATAATTTCGGCAACTATACCCGTGGAGGTTACTGTTTCCTATTGGAAGATCACCAGATTTCTTGCTTTGCAGATGTAGTATGTTGAGACAGCCAAGGCTGTTCTGCGAAACCTGTCAATGAGCGAAGGGGATTTCCAATGTTCACATATCCAGGACAGTTCTGAAGACCACAGTTGGGGCCTCCTAGGGGACAGGCACATGGACAGAACTTTACTCCACACCGCTGCTGATACAGAGCATGCAAAAGAACCACATTTCCTCATTCTGTCTTTAGTGTTCAGCCTTTTTCTACACAGCACCCATGGAATAAAAGAGAACTTAGGGATTTATCCCTTGTCCCAATACCAGCATGTACCTGGGGACTTCAGGTGATGCAAGCCTAAGAATTTGTAAAGCAGACTTGACATTATACACGCCTGAGTTGCAGGGTGCCCACACAGCGACATCTCTCTCCTTTGGATTAAGAGCTGGTTGACAAGAAGTGAGCTGTCGAAGCCTTCTAACTTCCACATTAGA